AGCTAATGCTTTATGCATCTTTGGGCCTGAGGCCGCAGTTTATGCTTTATGCATTTTGGACCTGAGGTCGTAGTTATGTATACGTATACTTGGGCCCGAGGCCGCAGCTTGTGCACATATATATATATATATATATTGGGCCTGAGGCCGCAATTTAATATTCAGTTAAGCAGGTTGTTCATCATTCAGAAGAGGGAGTATTTATATCCTTACTTCCTTTATTCAGTTCAGTTATCACTTATCAGTTATCTTTTCAGTTATCAGTTCAGTTATCAGTTATCAGTTATGAGTTATCTTTTCAGTTATTCGTTCAGTTACCAGTTCTCACTTCAGTTTCAGTTTCAATAGTTATCAGCTTAGTTTCAGTTTCAGCATTTATAATTCTTTCTTTCAGTTGCTTTACATACCAGTACAATTCAAATGTATTGACGTCCCTTTTTGCCCGGGACCTGCATCTCACAATGCAGGTAATGATTAACACGTTGACGATTCAGAGTGCTAGGATTCTCGTACCAGCTAATTTGGTGATCCCCAGTTCTTTCGGGGCATTATCATTACCTTACAGTTTTCAGTACTTAAAGGCAGTCAGTATTTTCAGTATATTATTAGAGGCTTCATAGACTAGAGTAACAGTTAGACAGAGTCACAGACTTTTCATATTAAGCCATGTTGGCTACAAATATATTTCAGAATTGTATTATTATTTCCGCACTTTGATTTATACCATCCATAATTTTCAGTATATCAGCATGTGTTAGTTTATCTTCTGCATTCAGTATGTTATGATACCACATGTTGATTCAGCCAGCCAGTTGGTTCGCTCGGTCACATGTAGTCCGGCGTCGAGTGTCATGTTACGTCCAGGCCCAGGTTCGGGGCGTGACAAAGCTTGGTATCAGAGCACTAGGTTCAAAAGTCCTAGGGAGTCTATGAAGCCGTGTCCAGTGGAGTTTCCTTTATATGTGTGTGCCGGCCACTCATATAAATGGTTAACTACCAAGACATTCAGGATTGTCTCACCGCTTTCTACTCTAGATCGTGCCATGAAACTTAGAGCAATAGGTAATCTTCTTTTCCTATTGAATTCCAAACGTATTGGATGCCCAAGCGACGCGCATGAGAAACCTAAGGTCCTAGAGAGGATAATTGCCCATTGGGGTATAATTATGAAGTACAGCTTGGTAAATATGAGACTTGAGAGGATGTCAAAAGTGGGATGCAATGGATACTAGCACACATTAGAGCATAACCTTATCAGAAAGTACAAAAGCAGTTATGATGTCTCATGGTTATTAGTTTACCTCAGTTACCAATTATACAATCTTTCAGTTAGCAAGTTTATGGTTACGCCAGTATTCGGTTATATGTTTACCGGATCTCCAATTTTCAGTGTATCAAAATTTCTATAGACTTGTGAGTATACAGTGAGGCATATGGATGCTCAGAGAGTATGTAAGTAACAGTGATTATAGCAAAATCTTCGCATGTTTTAGGGATTAAGACCCAAGACTCATTGGATGGTGCATAAAGTGATTTATCAGATATGTATGGCAGTGTATCCGTATGTCAGACCCCACGGTGTATCAGGTTAAGAATTCAACCGCAGCGGGCATAGGATTGATCACTATAGTTTTGACAGAAAAGAGCCTAAGGGAAATGTAGCTAAGAATAATATGATGTACGAAATGAGAACTAAGAGCAGGCAACATTGAATTTTAGGGAATGATTTTATGTCGTTTAGATTTATTCAAATCAGAACTAGAAAGTACCATGTTAGTGAATTTATATACGAAGTGGCTATTATTGTGAGATAAAAGATATGACAGTTCCCCTTAATATGACTATGTGTTTAGGTTGGAGCTTTATACTCTGAAGTGATTTTGAAGTGTATAGAAAGCTTGGGGTTAGATATTCCAATTTTGTTAAGACAAATGAACTTTCCCTAAGTGCGATTCATGTGCATGGTTCAAAAAGAATGATAGCGTGCGGCAAAAGAATATGATCGGATGGTGAGGGAAGTTAGGAGTAACCTTATGCTCCACTTTAGTTATTCAAAGCAGAGCAAGAAAACATGATGCTAGCAGGGGGTTAGTAAAAGAATAGTAAATAAGTTTGAGTAAATACAGTGAATTAGCAATTTCAGCAGAGCTAGTAGAGGTAAGATTTGATTCACTTAGTTGGGTTAACTCTAGTGAGTGGATGATAGTTTGAAATACCGAATATGTGTTATAACCCAAAGAGTTTAAGTTAAACCCGAAGTACAGTAACAGTGGAAAAAAAATATAGCTAGTAGTAAAACAGCGAGCAGTAGAAGAATAGCTTTTAGGAATTATCGAAATGTGGTTTCTCCAAGATTGACAGTGTGAGCAGAGTTAGATTATTAAGATTGTGTATGATAGTTGTGAATAAATTAGCTTTCCGTCATGTGAATAATTTAGTTTTTCCTAGCTCAGAAGTAAGTTGGAAGATGAGTCGTTATTGGGGTAGAATGGAAGGAATTGCAGAAAATAAGGGAAAGTTATTCGGATCCCAACAATAAGAGAAGGATCTGCAAGTATAAGACCTTTGGTCTAAGGGGGTGATGTGAAAACCATCAGTAAGTGCAGTTAGAGATCTGAAATTCGAATAGTAGCATGGGATATGAAAAAGAAAATTAGTTCGGTAATGAGGGAAAATTGTATAATTACCACAAGGATTATGTTTAGCATGTGTAAGAAAAACAAGTGAGTAGAATGATCACCGAGTTTAGTCATTGATGATAAAGTGATCACAGAAAGCTATAAAATCATGCCCAGTTATGTATCACGAGGGTAGTGCCATTGCACGAGACTCTAGTCTTCGGAGTACCGGTTAAAGACTTAGCTCAAAACAATTCTATAAGTGTTTTCAGGAAATTCTTAAAAAGATAAAGTGTGGGAAGTATAACTCATGATTGAGGTAGATAAGAGAACTCTGGTAAAAGAAGTTC